CATAATTTTGTATCATTTCGGTGACAAATATTTTCGGAATCTTAACCAGACCTAGGCTATCATATGCGGACTTTTTTCTTCAAATGTAAGTACTTAATGCTTCGAACGTTTTATTATTTATCAAGTTAATTGCTTGAATTATATCAAAATTGCAACACAAGACACTTTTGATAATCACTGTGACCAATATGAATATAGAATGGGTCTTTTTCAGTACAAACACAAAAGCAAAATCTAATTTTGGCCGATGTTATCTTAGAAATTCATTTCATGTTTTGTTGTGAAATATGTTAATTCTGGACAGTCAGGTACACATGATTAAAAGGAAAACTTTTTTCACGAATGGTTTCAAATAGCTTTAAAGTTATATAGCTTGACAAAACCATTTGTTCAAGAAAAGAACTGACAAGGCACTGTCAAACATCTTTTTTGCCATGTAACAACCACTAATAAGCTGATACGGTAATTTTTACGTAAAATTTTTTAATTAATTTTTGTTTATTAATGAAGAGATTTTTGAAGTCTATAGTATAAAACAATGTTAAATTATTCTAAAAGGTATAAATTTATTGTATTCGATTAAGAAAGAGTAGAAACTTTTAAAAATTTTAACATTTTTACAAAACGGTAATTTCAGTAAGCAGACTGAAACATTTTGGTACAATAAACAAGGTACCAACATATTACGACGTATGTAGCTAATAAGTGGTTATTACATGACCATGCTAATGTTCGACACTCTCTTTTCAGTACCTTTCCTAATAATAAATTTTCCTAATTTTCAAAACAGATAAAAAGGGAAAGTTTTTAACAAAATGTACTACTCAACTTTTGCTAAGCAATGTTTGAGTGTTAACGTCGTGCGAAAGGTTTTAAATGTTGATTAACTGTTTAATCAATGCAGCTGAAGGACGAACTTAGCACTCTGAATTTTTACTAGAGAAAAGGATTGCCCCCTATTTGAAGATTTCAGAAAATGCAGCATGTTCATTTGGATTTTTGTGTACAGTTTTAGACTTAATACCGTGTGTGTAACCCGTGATATCAATGACAGCTTGGCAGGGCCTTCTCATACTCCCTTCGTTTCTTATAGTTGTAAGGGGTATGGCAGCCCATTCAGCTCCAGAATGGTTCTTGGTTGCAGCTGACAAGCTGAAATTTTAACCTGCAGCTCATTCCACATGTGTTCTATTGGATTTAAGTAAGGTGAGCGAGCTGACTAGTCCAAGCACTCAATAGACTTCTCTCTAGGACCTTCATGCCCTATGGGGGCGAACATTATCGTTCATTAGAATGAACTGATCGCCGACTGCTCCAGTATGCAACCTAACCTGGTTGTCTAAGATGTCTTCCATGTATCACTGAACTGTCAATGTGCCTCTATTTAGCACAACCAGGTCTTAATATTAGCATTCTCAAGCAATTGTATGACAATAAGCCGGCTATGTCGCCGTATAACAAAAGACATGCGATTGTACACCCAATCAAAAACATAAAAATATTGTCGTGCAAACCTTCCATGCATCAAAGGCGAGTTGTAACGGATAAGTTAACATTGATTCATGTCAGGGGAGTCTCTCAAAACATTGTTGAATTAGACTTTCCAAAATTGGAAAGAAATCATTTTTTCCTAATCAGTTACAAATTATTTCCTATTATTCAATCATTTATTTGTTTTCTTTGAATTCCTTATCAGTTAAAAATTATTTATCATTTTATTGAATAACCTGTCCGTGCTCTGCCTTGTGCCCTGTCCTGTTTTTGTTTGGTGTTCGCCTGGGCTCCTTGCCACTGGTTCTTATTGATGGGTCGTGTAAGGGTTGCGTTCATTGAACGCCGCCTTTCCTTGTTGATCTTGTTGAAATCATTTGTATTTTAAAGTTCACCAAAGTATTCAGAACGTATATGTCTATAAAATGAGCAGTTTGCTACAAAATGTTCCTCATTTTCGATACATTGAATCGTGCAATATCTAGAAAGTCTATCTTCAACACAGGCACCAATGTAACGTCCTGCCTCAACGCGTAATGGCAGAATGCCACACCTTTACTCGGCAAGAAGTGATCGTTCGTTTCTTTTCATACTCAAAGTGACATATTCTTCATTCTCGAACTCTGTTTTGAATAAGGTATAAGTTCTAAGTTCTGACACGTTTTCTGTCCCGATGTTATATATGTTACTGTAGTATTCAGTGATCTTAGCGTGCGCTAGGTCTAGATTTAGAATCATTTTGTAGAACTCCGCTAAACCGATTAGGGATAACATTTCCTTCAGATTGATTACTCACCAATTATTCAACATAAACTATATATCATTTAAAATATTTTCCTTGTTTGAATGGAAGAAGTCTATTCCAGTAACGGATTATATCAATCCACCGTTTATGGTTCCCGGCAGCCACATCATGTCTCCCGTTATAGCAAGTACAGTTGTAAAACGGTGAACACACAGATAATACTTGATTGTCTGGTGTTGCACATATTCTACTCTATGGGATTTCTAATTTCCCCAACTGCCAGAGCAATAATTGAATATTGGTACTACGCACGAGTTATACAGTTTTTTTTTCAAAAGTTTTAATACCGATAGATTTTAATGGGTGAACTTTTGAGATTTTCTTTCCAAGTGCTCTCTCTGCACCTTTTCTGAGAGTGTCTGCATTATTTGAGACATTACTGCTGAATACTACGCCAAGATACTTATAAATCTTAATATTTTCAAGCACGTTATTTCCTATTCATTCTTAAGTCCTGTGTCGTTTGCGACGCTCTCCCTTTCCTTAAGTGAACACAACAATCATAAAGTATATATATTAGTTTTTGCATATCGGCTTCTGTGTTTGCTATTAAAAAAGAATATATTGTGGTGATTTTTTATTGTATCCCTTAATCTGATAATTATAATTTAACAGGTCGGGGATATATGCACATGATCAACACAAAATTCGCAACTGTAAATGTAAATGACCATAACATTGTATAGAATATTCTATTCTTGCGTGTGTTTTCATTCAAAAAATCCGCCATGATTCCGTATCGTATCATTCCCTCTCTCGCCTAGAAAGATATCGTACCTTTTTTACATTCGACTCCCTGACTTACGATATGAACATTTTAGTTTGGATTCCGGGATTCGATTGGCGAAATGAAATAATATAATGAATATACCATGGATCCATAGTGGCCGATATTTGGTTTGATTACAACACAATGTCACGTGATTCCGCCTAGATAGTAATCTTATCTCTTATTATACGAACTGCTTAAGACGATTCCAAAGGAAATTTAATTTGATTATGATATTTTATAATAGAAATTGTCATTCATGCAATAATGGTCATTTGAACAATTCTATAAGCACCTTCTTTCATTTCTTTGTTAAATCAGAGATGTGGACAGGGTGTAAAGCACACAGCTATCCACACTGTCACGGTTGGGGCAGATGTTCAAAGTCATGTGGTGGAGGAAGGCGAGGGCGTATTTGTGAATCGTGTTTTATTAGACATAAGAAATGGTTTCACGAGGACTGTAACCAGCATTGCTACAATGGCGGAAGTTTTTATTCAGGATCTTGTCATTGTTCTTCATGGAGAAGTGGCGATTGTTGTGAAAGTATAAAACATTCAACTTTTTAAGAGTAGATGACAAACACTCAATCTTAAGCATTTATTTTTAATATTATACACGAAAAGTGTGATTTGATATCAATAACGTCTTATTATAAAACATGGTTCAAAAAAGAAACTGTTGTATTTCTTAAAAGTTTTGCATTAATTTACGCAAAAGCGAGTTTTTACCTTTAGTTGTGTACATACCTGTCTTGATCATTAAATATTTTTGTGTATTTTGCACTCAATTATTTCTGATGAAACTGCATTACAACCGACATGCAAACACACTTTCAAATACTAACTTTCTTCTGTTCTCGGAAGAAATTCACTATAGTTCTTGCTATCTGCATGTTTGGTTTAGATTGCTACCACAAGTATATAGCTCACTGTAAATCTGGATATAAGGAGTGTGGAGGATATCCTGATAATATAAGATGTACTAAATGCGAAGATGGTTACTACGGTGCTGGATATGGAAATGGCTGTAAAGGTACATATTTCTTTCCTACTGTTAGCCTTCAAACGTTTGCAACAAATGCAATTGCTGGTTATGGCTAGCTTATCTTGAGTTATGAATTAAGTAGTTGCAGTCAACAATTATGTTGAATCAATTCCAAATGGTTTTTGTTTTGTTGTTGTTTTTTTTTTTTTTTTTACATTTATTTCATAAAATTTGACAAATCAAGACACAGAGAGGAAGTCATCGAAAAAGTATTCTTTAATACTTGATATAATGAATTACGTATTCCTTCTAAAGCTTCAATTGCACACTTTAAGTATATGTACTTTAGTTGAGGATTATAGTACTTCCTTTTACAACTATAAAAAAGTCCCGATAGAGCGTAAGGGCGAAGCATACTTCCTTATATGTTAAGATGTTTTGTGAATCATTCGTATAAAAAAACTATGATTGAACCACACATGTTCCAACAACTATGATATAATTCAATGAATGTTGTATTGGTATTTCATTGCTCTATTTAAAAACGCTTTCAAATTCATGTCAAAGACCCGTTGCAATGCTGATTCATATTTATTATAACGAATTTTTTGATTGCCACTACATGATAATTGGCGAGCTTCTTAGTCACTAACATGTTGATTAGATATTTATTCGCGTTCAAATTAAATATGGAACGATGCGTGCGCAAACAACGTATTATTATGTGCTTGCGTTCCGCGTGCACAATATGGTAGTTATAAACATATTTAACTTTTATTATGTTTTAACAGGGATGAAATTCGATGGTATTTCTAATTTATTTTATGTATATTGAATTCGCCTACAGCTACATGTCTTCAATTCATATAATAATAATAATAATACTAATAATAATAATAATAATAAGAAGAAGAAGAAGAAGAAGAAGAAGAAGAAGAAGGAGAAGAAGAAGAAGAATAAGAATAATGTAATAATGATAATTATAATTAAATACATCTCACGTCCGTGCGTGTAAGTTCGTACACTTGAACAAAAAAATGCCACGCGACGTATAATATCGTTTTGCTGTTTTTTTAGTTTAAGATCAATTATGACTTATGACTTTTTTTTAACAAAAATGAATTTGCTATTCACCGAATTGTAGTGTTTGCGTTATCTTTACTATAAATAGATGCAGTTTAACATATCTTTATCCGCCAGTCCGTGGTAATATCTTGAAGTACATGTATATTTGAGAATACTCTCTCGACGAATAAAATTCCTTTCTTAAATTGTTATACTTACTTTTTTAAACAAACGCATGTTATATTTACATATACAGTCATCATCATCTTAATCAATATATTATCATTATTATTATCATACTCTAATTATCAACTCATTACTCACAGTTATTATCATCATTATTTGCAAAGTCATCATTTTGTGCCATTTTTTCTTTAACCATTTCGATGACATGCGCTTTAAATCTACATATTCAACTTTCATGCAAATGAATGTTAAATTACTTGCCAGTAGCAAATTGTCGATCAGTTAAGAAGTGCAAGCAGAGGGATATTATGATGTAACTGATGGGCATATAGATGGTATAAATCAGCGTGGTGCAAATATGCAGACTTTGACATCTGACACGTATCTGCAACACGAAAATTGACATTGTCTTTTAAAGTCTTTAAATATTTAATAAACTTTTCGAAAAAAAAAATATTTTTTATTGAAATCATTTATATTTTCTTTTCAATGTTGAAATAAAAACTAGGACTTCATCAATATTGTTTCCAAAAAGTATTATAAATTGTTCATTGCTTTGATTTTTCAACAGCTGAATTTTACTTTTAAGCCTCATTACCTGCCGCTGATAATCAAGATTAATTTTGAAAAACAAAAGAGTCCTTTGTTAATTAATTATCTAACACATTTGCCTTGAGGTTCTTGAAATTTCCAGCAGTATATAGATGTCATAGCAAGAAAAGGTCTGCATAGTTATTACAGTTCAGGATGTTTTCTATTTACACGCACTGTTTTCTTTTGCATTTTGAAATATTTGATCTGTTTTTGACATTTAAATTAAGTTAAACGTTGTTTAATTATTTTTATGACAACTTTATTCTTAGAAACGTTAAAACTTCAAATTAAAAGTCTTGTTTTCCAACTGCATATCTGCTGTTTTGACAAACTGTTAACATTCTTTTTTAGCTGAAGGTTGAAAATAAACACTTACAATTCCATTGGTTACAAAAGTAGGTCAAAAGTGATCAGTTGATTTGTTGTTTTATTCAGTTGTAGATATTTACACGATAGTTTAACATGTGCACTAGTTCTCCACTTTCATGTGAGGATGAGGGTGATTTTACACCTCATTGTGTTTACTGTTATAAATTTTACATCTACCAATGTCGAATCGGCGGATTGCTCCGTGGATATATGTAATTGGGAACCATGGAACTCGTGGTCATACTGTAGCAGGACTTGTGGTGGGGGAACAAGAACGAGATCTAGATCATATTGTTGTAAACATGGCTTAGATTTTGATGATTGTATAAAGGATTGTGGTCATAGCAGGGACTATGGTAATACGTACGCATATGACGAGGGATATTGCAACAAAATTTGTTATAACGGTGTTTACTCGTATGGAAATAATTGGTGTAACTGTAATGTCGAATTTTATGGAACTTGTTGTGAAAATGGTGAGCAAATATGTCATTATTTTGAAACAACTTCGTTTCTTTTTATTTTAATTTGAAATTTTATCAAAGTCATTATAAATCAATCTTTTTAGACTAAAAATAAATACAATGTTCATTGTAGGAGGATACACATGTGTTACACGAATAAAGATCTTCTAAACGAAATTGCCATGGATTACTTTTTATTATCATCCTTTTATTCTATTTGCAATCTTATTCCGTTGCAAACTTATTTTGAATTAAAAGAAACTATCGAATTGTATTCTTAATCACACTATTTGAGCAATTTATATGTTTTATATGAAAAACTCGGAATTTTTTTTTTTTGTTAAATTTTGGCCAGATCAGTACAAAAATTTATCATGATTGGCAAAAAAAAATTTTACACAAAAAAAACATAATTCACTGGTCTAAGATATTTTCATTACTAAAAATTATCATCATCATCATCATTAATAACCATATGATCATCATAATCATCATCATCGTCGTCGTAAACATCATCCAAAGCATCGTCATCATTTTCATCATTTTCATCATTATCATTATCAACATAATCACCATCATCATTATCTTCTTTAACAGTTACAACAACAGCAACTTGATAATAATAATGAAAATCAACTCTACCATCATTTTCATTATTATCGGCTTTATTAATATTATCCAAATCATTTTTTAATCATTTTTTTAATAATTTAAAGCGGGATAATGGATGACAAAAAATTAGTCATCATTTCTGTTTCTGTAAGGTTTTCTGATGCATGCACTGCAAGGATCACGCAAAACTACCTTGCTAAGCACACAACCTTATCGTGCTACCATGGCCAGCTTATTAACCGGACATGAAACCATTGACACATATGCTGTCTTCTTCATCGGAGGCAAGAAGAATTCACGTTTTTACTAACATTCCTGACCTTACACCTGCCTTTATCCAAGAATGGAATGTTTATTTTCCGAATTACGTCATTCAACCTTACGTAAGGTTAATGTGGTCGGTAATCATTGCTTTGATTTATATAAGTAAATAATCGGTATTGAAGAAATTTCAGAAACTGAAACACAAATTAACTATAACATGAAAATCAGCGGTGTCTATCTTTGATTATGACCATGTTGCATATCATATATGTGTATTTGGGTCTTTATTCCGCTAATTTTTAAATCTTCCTTCATAATATGGAATAAATATTTCTGATATTATTTAACTGCTTATGGCTTAAATTTATTGTAAAGTATGACACTTTTAACCTTTTAAGATGATCTCTTCATAAGAGTCTAACAAATCATCAAGACAAATAACTTGACGTCAGTGTGTTAAGAGGTTTCAATCACATTTTTTGTTTGCTTTAATGTTTAAAGATGGCAATTTAAGTAGAAATTTTACATAGCATATAGTATGAAATATAAAATGTTAGATGAATTTATCATAAGTTACAAAGTATAAATACATTGTATGTGTGTGTATTTTAGTTTAGTCAAATAAGCACATTGACAATACTTTTTTGAATTCGTTAAAAAAGGAGAAATTTATTATTCTTTTTCATACAATATCTAGTTCTGTTTATGAAATAAAGGTTCTTATGAAATTTAATATTTATCAGCATCAAAATGTTTTCCAGAATGTTCCCGTATTTCTCAGTGTAAAAGAAGAAGATGTACTACATATTATAACACAGAATGCATTGAGTGCTACGATAATAGGATATTCTACAAGCCTAACTACGATGGCAGCCGATGTGAACGTAAGTTGTTGGACACATCCGATTGATGAACATTCTTTTTAATGTTTGATTGTTACTATCGGAATTTATTAGGGGAAACTATCTATATGATATTTTAAAAAACAATGCAAATAGAATTATTACATCCTTTCAAAATGTAGGACTGATAAAATAATAGAGGCAAAATTGTGCCTAGGTTACCTCAAGAATATATAAAATATTAGGATGGGTTTAGCTTTGACTATGTTATTTATCCGTTTATCAAATAAACAAATACGCTGAAGTTAGTCTTAAATAGATTCCACTGAGGTCCAAAATCATAAGAGCACAACAATTAATGTTTTACATATATCAAGTAAGATATTTAACACAGAAAGATAGGCAAAATATTATTAAGAAATAAACTCGGAAATAAATTGATAATTGTATGTTTTGAGCTATTAGTAGACCAACTTGTATGAAACGTGTTGTCATGCTTTTCATTTTCGGTCATTTTTCACGATAAGAACTATTACTCTGGGACAAACGTAGTAAGCGAAAGATCTTAATTTTTGCACGTTATTGATAAAGACTTACATCATTTGAACTATAAATCTCGGAACATTTTCCCTAGTCCTGTCATGTTAAGGAATGGGGAATCGTGAAATATGCATCCCTTGTATAGTAAATTAAAATAAATAAAGTCTATCCAAATACGGATGTTTAACTGCTTTTTCAACTAATCCTAACCAGTCTTCTTTTCACAGTATTGTGTAATGATGATCTTAGTAACTATGAATTTACATTTATCTTTTTAAAAGAGGTTAATTTCACTTTTAAGAACTTGATATTACATTTTAAATTGTTTTGAAAATCTGGCTTCAGAATGTATTAATAAACTTTCATTACACTTAATAATATAGTCTAAACGCAATCTTTGAATCCTAAATATTTTATCTAAAGATGTCTTAGAAATCATTGACAAGATTTGGCAAACAATACATATATACATATAGGCAGAATTGAAACTGTTCAATATAATTTATTTTAACTTGGCATTTTGTTAGAATATAATGACAAAAATATTTCAAGTGAAAAATCGTGGGTGTCACCGATCCCACTTTTTACTTATCTGCCCTTGAGTCAGAATTTTTTACTTATTTGAGGGCATTCCAAGGGATGAACACTTATACATACATCTACAAAATTTTATTGTTTTTTTTTTATTTCTGGGTTATGTTTTAGTTTTTATAGTTAATTACAATACATAAAATCATGCAATTCCATAAATTATCTCTGTTTTTCATTTTTAATAAAGGGACTTGGAATTCTCTAAAACTATGCTATGTTGTAAGAAAAAAATGACACAAGTTCAGAGAAGGGACAAAACAGTCTGCTGTTTTTTCGTACTTGAAATGACACAAACCGCAGTGAGCCAAATGAAAATAAGAAAAATAAAAAGGTTTTGTTTACCTTTACCTACGGCATCAGCCCTTGAATGAAGCAAAAATGTCCATTCAGGGGCAGATAACTCAAATACAAGAATGGCGATCCCCAGTTATTTTGCTTAGAATGTTTTTGTTTTCATAGTCTAACAAAATGTCAAGTTTCAAGAAATTATGTTGAGCATTTTAAATGTTGCCCTCTAAACATCTTGAGCAAAACGACTATATATTTTGTAACCAGGTCCATAATAGACTTTTAGTAACAAAAACTCGGAAGAAAATTAATTCATATTCAATTGAGTCAGTCAACATTATTGTGTTGTTTGTTTTTCAAAATACATTTCAGTTTTTATGCTGAGGTGCTTTTATGCACTTATGTGATTGTAAGTACACAGGAAATGATAAGTGTTTAGGAGAAGTATAATGACTTAATTTATGTTATTGAAATGTCCAAACTTCCTGCTTTTATATAGTTCCCACTTATATAAGTAAATGATTAAAATGGACACGAACAATATGAAAACTTTGCTCAATTTTAATTACAGAATTAATAATGAACTAAGATTTAACTTACAATTGCAAGGCCTATTCAGAAAAATATATATACTTTATTCAGACTTAATATGGTTACAGACGTTTCTACGACAGGGAATAGCTTGTTTTTCCAAAGGGTGTACCCTTAAACAAGAAATCAGTTCAAACGATAGTGATATAATGGATACTGTATGCCAGTCCAAGCATATAGTCTGATTTCTGTAATGATTTTACGTTTAAATGACAATTACTGTTTCACATCAAAATTGCTTGTAGTAAGCAGATGAGTATTATGCACTCTGACTTATAATTCTTTGTCAATTGGTTGTTCCATTTATATAATTATATAAAAGGAACAAAGATTCGTATCATTACCAAAAAAAAAAACTTATTTAAGAAATCCCCCACATTACAACTGCTTTAACTTGGAGTGATTGAAACAATAATCGTGTATCAATATGGTGTCTTCATGGAACTTGACAAAATTAGAGAAAGAACCTATGATACATAAAGAAGAAATTATTCAATGAAAAATTCAGCTTGCCTGCTTGTCTCATTGGACGTTTTCTGTGCATTGCAGTAGTAAAGTATTGACTGACTTTTTGAATGCAATTGAAACCATGATAGTGTTTTACCAGCAGTCCCATCCCTTCACTACTAGTCGAAAGAGCCAAAAAATTACTTTTCGCTTGTCCCTGTGTTACAAGGTCAGTGTCGTGGTACTGTTCTGGCGCTGAAATATACCAGTGATATCGTTATTGTAAATAAATAAACTGAACCTGTTTTCGGCTTTGGTCTTAACTACAAAATATGCCTTTGTCTCAGTTTTAGTCTATTGTGAGGCTAGTTATGCCAATGCATTCTGTTACACGATATTTTAACTTCAAACAAGTGATATACAATCAGACCATATAGTGTTTTGTTTCCACTATGCCTGAAACCCCACCAAGATTAATTTTGCCGTTGTCTGACACAAACGTTTTTTCTTGTCTTGTGTAACTTTATGTAAATCGAACCAAATTGTAGAAATTGTCAAAAAATGGCATCAAACATAAAGCTTTATTGTGGTTCGAAATACGTTTTTTTTTGAGATTGTAATTACCAGAAAAAAATTCTTGGGCTCAACTTTGCTTTAATATGTTATTCTATTGGTTTTTTAATCAGAGAACTTGCTGGGACAATATGAATTTGTATTGGTTTGTTTCTCAATTTCGTCACATTTCTGGTGTTAAAAGACACGTGGGATGTTGATCCTGACTTTAGGAAACCGTTTTTTTAATGATTGTTCGTGTAGTGAAATTAACTCACAAAATTACATAAACGACGAACAAAAAATAGCAAAACATTCAAACTCTTTTAAAATTATATCTAAAGTAGTACTGAATTTGTTTGATTTTTCATACATAGAAACAATTAAACAATGGTAATAGGAATTGAAAAGAAAACATAACCTAGCAATCTTAATTGTCATTCGTAAGAGTTATCACTATAAATATATATAAATACGGAGAATAGCTACATGCAACTTAACATTAAATATTGACAATAAAGAGCATGTTTCGCTTGCAATCTTTCTAAATATTTTGTATAGTAATAATGTGCATACAGTTAAATATACTTCTTTGCCCACGGACTTGTCACAGGAAACCGTCAAACATTATCAATTACGTGCATCACAAAATCAAAATTAGCCACTACTCAACTTACTTGTCTCTGTATGAAGAAATGACAGATCAATTATTAGTAACATACAAGATATATTTACACTCCTTTAATGAAAACAAACCGAAAAATATATACTCTGTTTTCAGTGAATCTAAATCCTTTCACAAAAAAGACTTGAAAGTTATTACAATTTAGATAACAGTGTTATTTAAACAGGTATGTGCGCTTCGAACAATCACTACTGTTGGCCCGGATATTGCAGTAACGAACTGACAAAAGGCTGCTCGTGCGCGCCAAATTTCAAAATTATACGGCAAAGTGGGGAAACTTCCTGCCAGCCAAGTAAGCTACCATCTATTCTGACATGTGGAACGGTTGTGATTGGTCCTAATATGGAAAAGAAGCAGGCTAGAAGCAGCATAAATTCAACAGAGTGTCAATATTTTTACTGATATGTATGGTAACTTCCAGCCGTCGTTTTTCAACTTTGATCTTGCTGCGGAATATACCATCGATACCAGTGGCTATTCGAAACCACCTTTTTATAAGCGAATCCCATTTTGG